ACCTCATACCATCAAGAAAGCAGTGCCGGGAGCAGAGCGCATCCTTTGGACTGGGGTCCCTGTGCCGAGAAGCTCCTAGTCCAGGGGAACACTGACGAGAAGGCCAACAGAGAGAGAAAGACTTCCCCTGGGGCTGACGCCCTGAATTTGGACTTTTAGCCTACTTTGACTGTGAGGAAATAAACTTCTCTTCGTTCAAACCATCCACTTGTGGTGTTTCTGTTATAGCAGCACTAGATGACTAAGACACTGGCCAACACCAGCAGCCTCTGCTGCAGTCTGGCAGCCTTATCTGGAAGGTGACCAGCTCCTTGGCCATTTCTCTCTTTGTTCTTCCTGTTCATCTCAGAATCTTTGGCACTTTCTGGGCACTCTGCATTCCTCCACCTTAGAATCTAAGCTCCGTGGGTCTGCTCAGGATAGTGCCTTCACAGGGTCTGGGGGATGAACTCTCCTCCTAGCTAACCTATGTCTTTTCAGGAAGCAAAGTGATGCCAAGCAACCACAAGTTGTTCTGTGGTGATGACAACAGCAGAATAATAACAGTAACACTGGTATTAATGTCACGCTGGTCACCAGGATGCCCAGAGGCACTGCATAGAATCATTCAAAAGCCTCTGCTCTCCTCCTGTCTTGTGTTTCAACTGGGTTGGAAATGGAGGAAGGCCACAAAGGAGACTCACATCAGAACTAAGGAGAATCTGGTGCCCTGGGTTCCACTCCAGAAATAAAAGAAACTTTCAGCTCTGTTGCCAACATGCTGTGTGAGCATCAAAGAGGTCCTTCTCTTCTCCACAGGTTAGTTTTACCACCTATAAAGTGGGAACATAAAGAATTCCCATCTCCCTCACAAAATGAGGTGGTGGTATTGACTAGACCACCCTAGGGGGTAATTCTGCCCTCAGCTAACAGGTTCCTTGGTTTGATCAAGTCCGTTGAAAGTGACACACCCATAGGTACAACCTGAAGAGGGGGAAATGTGGACACCCTGGGACAGGAGATGCAAATGGGGTGAAAAAGCAAAAGTAGTGCAGGCAGCCCATTAAAACCAACCATTTAGTTCTTGGGCTGAGGATGTCTTTATTCCTTCCCTCCCCAGAAGGAAATGCAGATGTAGAGGTAGGTCTCTCGGCACTTAGCCAAGCTTTTGGGTTCAGAAGCTGGATGACTGCACCACATAGCAACAGCAGCTGGCCTGCCCTCCCTCTCCTTACACACACATCCCCAACCCCCTAGAGAAACGGTTGAGGACTTCCAGTACAGGGGCAAGGGGAAACCCCAGCCTGGGGCCCTAGAGAAATCTTGGCTCTAGTGCCAACAAGTGGCGCGGGAGGCTCCAGGGCTCAGATGGGGTATGGGGAAGGAAGATTGGGGTCAGAGAGGAGCCCTCACAAGGAGCCGCTGCCACTACGCCCCCCACCCTCTCCCTCCGGATTCGACCCAGGAACCACCCCATTCCACCCCCGCCCTCCTCTCCCGCTCAGTCTTCCCCTAGCGGGGATTTGTTCCCGCTGTAGTCAGCATTGCCTGTGGGCCAGGTGCTCACTACCTACCTCGGTGGCCATGTTCCGGCTCGCAGCCTGCGGCCGGGTGGTCGAGGGGGCTGTCCGCGGTGCTGACTCGGGGAGCAGGTGGGCTGGCGGCGGCGAGGTGGGGCCTGGGGCACTGTCCTAGGTGCTGATGCGGGCGCCACAGGCCCAGGTTGAGGTGGACTGGTAGGCTGTAGGGCGGCTAGGTCCTGGGGAGGGGCGCTGTGCTGTCCGCGGTGCTGACACCGGGCCGGGGAGGCGAGGCCGTGCCCGAGGCTCTCCACGGCCCGATCTCCCACTGCCACTGCTCCTGCAGGCAACGGACCGGTTTATCTTTGACAGCAGCTGCAGGAGTGGGGGCGGAGGAGGGGCCAGGCGCCTCCGCGGGCGGAGAGGGGGAAGCCGAGGCCCCCAGACTCCGGCGCCCGCCCGCGGGAGAGGAGCCCCGCCCGCGGCCGGAGGCTGAGCTCCCGCCCCACCCGGAGGCCCCGCCTCTCCCGCCTGCCCTTCCCCCTAATAAGAGCGCCAGGAGCTCTGCACTCTCTACCACAGCCTGCAGGGACTTCTCGCCCAGAGGAGAGAGAAGCTGGGCGGTTCTGGGACAAGACACTCAAACCTGGGGCTGATGGTCCCCGACCCGCTCACAGGCCCCCTGGTGCGGCCTGTTTACCCCTTTGCCCTTCCCCCACCCTACCCTGGGGCTTCCCCTTCTGTATTTTTTCTCTTCCTTCCTGTTTCTGTGTACACCACCCTCCCAAGCTCACAGGGACGGTCCCTCTTTTCCCCTCGCCTTTTCTCTGCCTTGAACTCCATGAGCTAGAGAAGGTTGCTGCAGACCTCCGAAAATCATTTTCTTTCTCCAAATGTGCGCCTGCATTTTAGCCCGAGCAATACTCTGGGGTCCCTTCTTTTCAGGGAGCTCCAGAATTGAAGCCATTCTCTCCTTGCTGTGCCTTCTGGCCTTGCCCCCACCCTTTATTCTTCCCTCTCTCCTCTGAAATCCAAGAGTTTACACACACAGACACCAGCACCACCACTGCCACTCAAAACCACAAGCAGGTGGTGCCAAACCGGTATGCTCACTTCCCAACATGGAGGTCTGGCCCTGGTTGCCAATGGCCTGAGGACATTGCTTCCTTCATATTTTTGACATTACACCTCCCATCCAGATCACCTATTGCTTAATAAACAAAAGGAAACCTCAACACGGGTTCCTTTTTGCACATCCAGAATACCCCTTGGTCTCTTTGTGGGAAAGCCAGGTGTGTTTCTCTGCAGCTCACTGCTGCCCAGGAGTCACCAGCAGCAACCCACACAAAGGGAGATGTGAATAGCCAGCTGTTGCAGCCACAGGACTCAGGCAAACATCCCACCTCTGGGCGTCAATGACCTCTTCTGTGAAAGAGAGCACGGGACTTCACAAGACTATTTCTACAGTCCTTTCTTTTCTCCCTTCAACCTTTTATTTTTAAAATTTTCAAACATACAGAAAAGTTGAAAGAATAGTACAATAAACACCCTTATACTATCTACCTAGCTTCAATAATTATTAACATTTCACCATACTTGTATTATCAATAGATGAAAAAAATTCAACAGAATTTTAAAAATAAAAACTCATCTAATTTTCTAATATTCTAGGGTTGTTTATTGCCCATCAAAACAGTTTAATAGCAATGACCCTTTAGAACTTCTCCCTTAACTTTTAATTTTTAATAACATATATTTATTGAGCACTATGTGCCAGATGTATGCTACACACTTTATTTATATTATCTTAGGTATTCTTACAATTACTCTTTGAGCTAAATGCTATTATTATCCTTTTAGTATTCCCATTGTATAGATGAGGATACATTAAGCTGCCCTAGGTCACATGGCTTGTGAGAAGTGGAAGCAAGATTCAGACCCAGGCAGTCAGGTTCCAGAGCTTGTGTGGTTGATCCTCCTAACTATACAGACTCCCTCCAGCATTTCACCAACCATAAGCTGGCAGAGCAGTGACCAACTCTCCAACTGCCTATTTCACATATGAGCACACTGAGACCCAGAGAAGATAAGTGGCATGCTAAACAAGTTGAAAGCAGATGTTTCATTCCACCTTATAGTCCAGCAAATGATCTGGCATCAAGGAAGAAACTGGAAATATCTGTGAGTCCCATGGAGGTAACTGGTAATAAATGAATGCATAAGCTGAAGATCTCCACACACACCTCACATAGTCCCTCCAACTTGATTTTGAATATATTAATTAGACAATCATCTGGAAACCACTTTCTTAACCTGATGGCTAGAGACCTGGATCAGTCAATTTGATAAATTCATTCATTCAACACATATTTGTTAACACCTACTATGTGCCAGGCACTATTCTTGGAGCTTGGGATACAGCAATGAGCAAATAGACAAAGACCCTGTTCTTATGGAACTTACATACAAATGGGGAGTGTCATGGATTGAATTGTGTCCTCCCAAAATGACTGTCAACCTGGCTAGGCCACGATTCCCAGTATTGTGTGATTGTCTACCATTTTGTCATTTGACGTGATTTTCCTTGTGTTGTAAATCCTATCTCTATGATGTTGATGAGGTGGGATTAGCAGCAGTTATGTTAATGAGACAGGACTCAATCTACAAGATTAGGAGTGTCTTAAGCCAATCTCTTTTGAGATATAAAAGAGAGAAGCAAGCAGAGAGACAGGGAGACCTTATACCACCAAGAAAGAAGCACCAGGAGCATAGCACGTCCTTTGGACCTGGGGTCCCTGCACTGAGAAGCTCCTCAACCAGAGGAAGATTGATGACAAGGACCTTCCTCCAGAGCCGACAGAGAGAGACCTTCCCCTGAATTCAGATTTCTAGCCTCCTAGACTGTGAGAGAATAAATTTCTCTTTGTTAAAGCCATCCACTTGTAGTATTTCTGTTAGAGCAGCACTAGATGACTAAGACAGGGGACAACAACCAATAACAAATAAGCAAAAATTATAAAATATGTAAACTTGAGATCATTGCCAAGAAGAAAAGTTAAGTGTGGTAAGGAGACAGAGAGTGGCTGGAGGGAGGGGCTGTTTTAGAAAGAATATTCAGGAAAAGCTTTTTTGATAAGGTGAAAGTTGGGTGGAGACCTGAAGAAAGTGAGAGAGAGAGACATGCAGATACCTGGGGGAAGAGTGATCAGGCAGAGAGGACAGAGATTATGAGGGCCCTGAGGCAGGAGTGGGCTTGGTATGTTCAAAGAGTAGCAGGGAGACCAGTGTAATTAGATTGGAGTGAGCAAGGGGAAGAAAGAGGGCAGCTGAGATTAGACAGGTAGCAGAAGCCAGGTCTTGTCAGGCCTTCTAGGCCCTGATAAGAACTTTGGATTCTTTTCAGAAAGTGAGACGGCAAACCTTAGAAGATTTAGAGTAGAAATTGCAGTTTCTTAAGGGTTATTCTGGCTGAAAGGGTGGGGAGTAGGCAAGGCCAGAAGCAGGAGATCAATTAGAAGGCTGCTAGAGTACTCTAGTTAAGAGATGATGGTGACTTGGACTATGGTGGTAGCAGTGGAGGTGATGAGAAGTGGCCAGATGCTGGATATAATTTGAAGGTAATGCTGACAGGACCTACTGATGGATCGGATGTGTGGTATGAAAGAAGAGTCAAAGATGAGCCCAAGTTTTGAGCACTTGAAGAATGGAGTTGCTGTTTACTGAGGGGAAGATTGAGGGCTGAGCAGGCCTGGAGGCATGGCGAACACAGTGTTTTGGATGTGTTTAGTTGCTTTGGTTAAAGTTTGACAAGCATATTATACTTCTAAGTGGAATAGGCAGTTGGGGTTCAAGGAAGAGACAGGGGTTGGAGATATAATTTCAGGAGTCATCATATATACATGGTATGTAAAACCATGGAACTGGATGAGATCATCTAGGGAGTGGGTGTAGCTTGAAAAGTTGCTCAAGGACCGAGCCTGAGCACTTCGTCACTTACAGGTTGAGACTAAAAAGGGACTGAGAAGAGTGACCAGTGAAGTGGGAGGAGACCTGAGAGAACGGTATCCCGAAGACAAGCAAAGAAAACGTTTCAAGGAAGAAAGCATTACCGGATATGTGGAATGCTGCTCACAGGTAACGTAAGACGAGAACTGAAAAATGACCATTGGACTTAGCAGGAAGAAGGTGGCCTTAATAAGAGCTGTTTTAGTGAAGTATGGGAATGAGATTACTGATTAAAGTGAGTTTGAGAGTTAGGATGGAAAGAGAGGAAGTAGAGGTACTGAGAGTGCAGAAAACTCTTTTGAGGCAGTTTGCTGTAAAGGGAAGCAAAGAGTAGGGTGGTAGCTTGAGGGGGAAGTGGGAGAAAGAGGGTCTTTTTAAGGTGGGAAATATTTAGAGCTTGTTGGTAAACTGATAGGAATGATCTAGTAGAGAGGGAAGGATGATGGTTCAGGAAAGAGAGGGGTTAATTGCAGGAGTAAGTCCTTAATAGTTGAGCAGGGGATGAGATCCAGGAAAAACATGGAGGGGATGTCTTGGAGAGGAGCACAGACAATTTTCCACCACGTAACAGAAGAAGCAGAGTAAGCAGCCACAGATGTGAGCAGGTTAGGAGAATTTGTAGGAGAAGCAAAGACCTGAGCTCTACTCCTTCACTTCAGCTAGCCAGTAACATTCATGCATCATGACCCATCTCAACAAACACAATCAGTATATATAGAAAGCTTGCTATGTACCAAGCACAGCTCTGGCACTTTCCTGTGTAGCCCAGAGAGAGTCTTCCTTCCCATTGACATTACAGGACTAGGACACTATAGAGGGCTATGAGATCATCCACGCAAGGATGAATCGTCCCTTTTAATGTCCAGCTTCTCTGCCAGGAGATAGACTAATAGTCTCAGCCTTTCATCACTATATTGCCTCCAGGGTTATTGTAACAACCTTGACAGACCTCAAGGATTGGAGGCATCAAAGTGGAGGCCATGGAGAGGGATCCACATTCCAAGTGGGAAGAGTTTCACACTGTTCTGACTCAGGCTGTGATGGGGCATATAGCATGGGATGTCCTCACCCTCCAAACACATGGACTTTTAACTCTTGAGGCGGCAAGGACTTGGAGATTTAATCTAACTAATCATTATTACCCAGCTGCCTAAGGACAACCCAGTCCTATGTAAGAGCCTAGTCCTTTGATGTTTTAGTCATAAATTAATGAGTGTGCCCACAAAATGACATCAAAGAAGATCTACTAA